CTAAATGTGACTGATATCAAATGTCAAAAGGAAAAAACCATAACGCAGACAGGAGTCCTTCAAAACGCTTACAACGCTATCTATGTGTCACAACCGAAAATACTTTCTTGCCAACCCAATAGTAAGGTACTGCCACGACGAACAAGGGCACTTTGTTCTAGAGAAGACACTAGAGAAAGTGCAGGAACATTATTGGTTTAAAGGAATGAGAAAATTCGTCTCCAAGTATGTCCAGTCATGTCTTAATTGCTTATACGATAAAACTCCGGGTGGGCGAAAGCCTGGATTGCTACATCCCATAAAAACAATTGCTATGCCATTTCACACGGTACATCTCGATCATGTTGGCCCGTTCATTCCTAGTCGTAATAAGAATACGCAAATTCTCACTATCGTTGATGGTTTCACCAAGTTTTGCATACTCGAACCCGTTCGAGACACGGCAGTGAAGAGTGTTTTGAAGGCGTTGGGTCAATTGATTGCAATTTTCGGGGTACCGACCCGTATTATAAATGACAGAGGGTCGGCTTTTACCTCGCACACATTTAAGGCCTTTTGTGATGAGCATGGCATAAAGCATGTGCTCAATGCTGTGGCTACACCACGTGCAAACGGCCAGTGCGAGAGGATGAATCGTACGGTTCTGAGCTCCCTTGCAGCTACCTGTGCGGGTGGAGCAGAGGATATGTGGGATCAAAGTGTGAAGAAAGTCCAAAGTGCAATTAATTGCACTACCAATCGGACCACCCAAAAAGCACCAACGCAGCTCTTGTGTGGGTATAAACCGCGTAGTTTGGCGGATGCGAGGTTGCTGACCCAAATCCATGGTGCGTTGGATCAGGTGGATCTCTAGGAGATGCGTGACCTGGCGAAGGCCGCTACGGACTCCGAACAGCTGGAGCAGAAAAGGCGGTTTGATGTGCGGAGATACAAACCTCCCAAGTATGCTGTAGGAGATGTTGTCATGATAGCAGCCAATCCGGGGGCAACCGGAGGGAGCAGAAAGCTGTTGGCCGTGGCAAAGGGGCCCTTCAAGGTGACCGCTGTCCTACCAAATGACTGGTACGAGGTCGCTGATCTGCGGGACTTTAAGAAGTCCCCTAACAGTCGCAGCGTGGTAGCAGTCGACAGTATGCGGAGATGGGTCACGTTTGATGGCAACCAGTAAGTCGGGCGAGTCGACGGAGGGCTGCCGTTACCGTGTGGCGGCACTACCTCCTACATTCGCCATCAGAGGTCTACCGAGTTGACACCTTTCCCGCAACTACCTGAAGCCTTCCTCGTTCGTATATATACGTCCTTAACCGACCATCGTATATCCCTGCGTCTAAGGCAGGGTCTGGTCTAGGTAGCCTTACTGACGAGTCCACCAGCAGGCCCAGGACGAAACGCTCCCTCTCCTTTCCTTCACACATTTTTCTAGTCTACAGTTTGCCGCCAAAACCGTATTCGGCGTTAGGCAAAATTTAATTGTGGTCGGAGTCCGTGGCCTTGAGGAACAATTCTGGGTCAAAATTGTGTTCAATGATGGGCCCGGGCGAGGCCTGGACCCAGGTCGAGTTCAGGCCGCCCCGGTACGGAATGTGGTCAATTCCGAACCCAAGGGAGGTCTGGGCGGAGACCAGGACCAGAAGTAGTCGGAGTCAAGGTTAACACTGGACTGGGCGGCCGGTGTCCCTGACAAGGCTAGCGACCGTAAAAACAGCTGGAATTTAACCTAAGAACGTTCAGCCTATCCTTATCCTAACTTGCGTGTTTCTAGTATTGGCATCGTGTCGAGCCGTGGTTGCTATGCAGAACTGATCACTCTGGGGTGGTAGTCATGGCTCGGGTCAATCAAATGCCTCTTGTATTACAGATCTCTGACCCTGCTAATTAGTTCGATTATTATAAACGTGTTAGAGAAGAATAGCTCAGGGGAAACGTCGAGTACGACGATTTGGTCAGTTTGGCCGAATGAGAACGAGGCTTCCTCAAAAGGAATATTTCGTCATCCAGGCGGCCGAAATGCGTCGCGGCCACGAGAAAGAAAAGACGATCCTGCGACCGAGGGGGGAGAAAGGAAGCTCCACGCGACTCGCAATATGCGAGTCGAGCAGTCGGTCGAAGACAACCGTACAAACGTGTCTGTTGACACCAGACAATAAATTTACTTATTCGTTTACTACACTATTTCCTAGGTTATCCTTTTCTAAATTCCTTAAACTTACCGTCCACCCCCTCCATACCGGAACCCCTTTAAATACTGGTTCCAAACAGGGGATGAGACAGTCTATTTCTGAACTTCAACATCACAACGTCACTCTGACCAATTGTATTCATATTTGTAAATAATAGTTAAATAGAAACGTATTAAAACCTAATTCGGAGTTACCTCGACGAAATAGTGATCCAACACAGAAAAGGACAAGCAAGTGAAAAACAGAAAGAGAAAGCATCTCTTTCCACTCGATTCGACTGCGTGGCCTGCCTGCGACGCTTCCACCGGTCAATGGTTAATCGCAATCGCTGCTCATATTCGTTCATTATCGCTTTTGATAAATCATAAGTAAATATGGTCCAAATTATATCGTGTTTGGCATAATATTAATCAGAAATATCTCATGAATATGTTCGTAAACATTTCGTTAACAAAGAACCAAAAACAAAAAGTTTCATCGTTGCATTTGTTCCCCTCGATTAGCCATCGGCTCGTGATAGGGAAGCCGCCGCGGCGCGCCGAGCAAAAAATTATACGCTTGACTGGTTCCACGGCCCCCTTCCTCAGTGGTGGGGTCGACGACTTCACACTTATCGTGAGCAAATCGACTCACACTTATCAGGACATTACTGTAATGGCGAACCCTATTTTCTTTTTTTTTTTTAAATATTTAACAATACGGGTCCCTTCTCCTATTTAACACTAAAACTACCAAACAAGCCAAAATGACTTGTCAGTACACTTTCATAACGATGATTAATATTTTATAACAATACATTTTCTCAGATCTTTTGCAACTTTTATTGCGATATGAAAATGAGGAAATTAGTTAATTTGTAAATTTAAAAATTAGTTAATTTATAAATTTGTGATTTTAGCAATCAGTTACTTTATAAATTTATAAATTTAAAAATCAGTTTATTTCTGAATTTGTAAATATAATAAACAGTTACTTTATAAATTTGAAAATTTAGAAATCAGTCAATTTATAAATTTAGAAATTTGTAAATTTAGAAATTAGTTATTTTATAAATTTGTAAATTTTCAAAAGTTTGCTATGTTTGATCGAAATATATACGTATACGTTTATCGTCAGTAGTTTTAATGTTACATTATAACAATAATTTTGTTTCATCATTATTTCTAATGTATTATTGCATCGAGAGTCGTAACAGAGTTAACTGTAGAAGAGAATTTGAAACAAAAAAAAAGAAATTATAAAGATAAACGTTTTGCCGAAATTTGATAGGATAGTTTGAAAATGTAATAAGCACATTTCAGAGGTGATGAATCTTTATGCATAGACTGTGAATTTTTATGGAAAATGGCATTTTTTAAAATAATTTTTGAAGACAACAGCAAAGATAGGAATTTCTTTCTTTTCTTAAATATCTTATTGGTTTCAGAATAAAGTAGAAAACACATTGCATCTGACGAAATTTTTTTCTTTATTGTATTACACAAAGCCCTATTGGCTATAAATGCATAAAATCCGCAATCTATTTATGAATGATTCATTACAATATTCCCATTGTATTTTAAAGTATAAGATTAAAATATTAAAAATTCGAAAAACTTACATCTGGATGTTCTTTAACAGGTACATAAACTTTCTCTGTCAACGTTCTGATTTCGCCATCTGGTTCTGGCAAAACCAGTGGTTCTTTCCTGACACCACTGATTTGAAATAGGCTCGCTCGCACCTTCGCGATTTCTGCAACAGAAAAAAAGGAAATGTTATTAATGAGAGGTCACACACGATATAAACCTTTACAATAGACCGATTTAGAATTTCATAATTTGCCAATACCGATTTGTTAGACAACTATTCACGCATCTGCATAAATTATTACTTTATCGAATATTCCTACAATCTTGCTACCTGTAACTTTTATTTTCTTATACACAGAGGGAAAGCCAGTGGGTACGTTTTGTTGCCACTTTAAAAAATAACAATACTTTTCTTCAATAAACTATGTAAAATTTCTCAATTGGATGTATACTAATCTACGACATTAATTAAATATGTACAATATGTCATACTTTTGTCAGTACAGACTTCTCTCGATTATTATTCCGAACTCGGGTCTGCGCCGGGACAATAATCTTATAGGGAGAAATGCTTCAGACCCTCGTAAATTCGATTTTTACCCAAAGCCCGACTTTTGGCAACTGAATCGGAGGGACAACAATGTATGCGCTTGACAAGTTTCACCCCCCACCCCCACAGTGGTGGGGATTAGGCCTGGACAATAATCGTGTAGAACAAACCAGACGATAATCGAGAGGAGTATGTAACTGTAAGAATATAGATTTAAATAAATATGTACTAGTTTTTGGTGGAGATTAAATATCGTTATTCACCTATCTTGCTTGACTTGAAATCACGAACAAATGTATCACACACAGTTTACATGATTTCTAGCAGAATACATACACGACAATAATTATTTCTTCCTCGATTGTTTATATTGTCAGTTTTCAAGGTCCTTTTTTGTTTTTTAAATAGAACATCCAATACTTTATGGAAATCAAAAGAATATCAATGTAATATTAAAGCACAGTAGGACTAAATATTTATTGAGATATTTGCAATAAGGGTACGCTCAAAATATTTTAATGAAAAATACGTAATACATAATTGGATGATTTTTCCATCAAAAATACGATGCTCTAGTATTTTCTGTTACACTAATACAAATCACATAAATACTAATTACATTGTATGATTATAAACATATTACAGTGCAAAAGAACAATCATCAGAACATCTTTCATTTTAATGTTATAAAGATTATTAGTATTTTAAGAAGTAGAAATATGCACTTTTTCGCAGTTAAGGATAAATTGAAATTGAAGGAAATAAAAAGATTACAGATACATTTATTTTATATTTCTATTATTATTTCACTTAAATACCCACTAATATGGTCTAATTTATACGAATACATTGTTTATAGGATCAACCAGTAAAAGATAATATAGTGGTTTATTTGTACAGTAGGCGCTCGTTTATTGCAGGCTGTTTTATTCCATACTGTATGCAATACTAAAGTATTGCATTTACTAAAGTAAAAAAAATATTATTATTCCACAATATGACAGTATCATTAAAAAGAATACATAATTAATCTTAAAAACTCTAAAGATCCTCGAACAACGAAAAAATTGTTACTGCTAAATAATAGCCCTTTCCAGAATAAACAACTTCTGTGAATAAACATTTCTAATATGTATATCCAGCCCACCCTATAGGTAGCTGCGTCGCACGACTGAACGGCTGAGTGGTGGGGAAAGCGCAACTGGCGTCTGCTTCTTGCACGGTTCCTAGAATTCTGGCCCGCTAACGCCCCTACTAGTGCGGGAAACGAATGTCTACTGTATGTATGTCCAAATTCCTGTACAACAGATGCAGGAATCTGTAATACCGACATATAAGAGAACCACTGCTGACACAAGCGACATCTACATATAATTTTCGAGTCAGGCCCAACCTTATCGATTCAATATGGAATAAGACTACAGTGACTGTAGAGGGCCAGAATTCCAGGAACCGTGCAGAAGCGGTGACTACATATTGTATGTAGTTACCCGAATGCTTTTCCCACTTGGCCGTTCAGTTATGCGACGCAGCTACATATACGGTGGGTTGGATATATGCACTGTACGGTTATGTTAATTATTTATTTTTAAAAATACCAGAAAAGTTTATGCATAGAAGTTGTTTAATATGGAGAGGGCTATTACTTAGCAGTAATAATCTTTACATAGGTGGAGGATTTTCTGAATTTTCAAAGTTAATTATGTTTTGTTATGCTTACATTAAGAATTAAGAATTATTACATTATATTGATTATTTCTACATATTATATTACATTTTGTACCTTGCGATTTATGCATAGTGAGTGAATGTAACTTTATACAGTTTTATTGTTTCAAAAATTTGAATATATTCTTACAGGCTTGTGTGTTTGGATAATGATATTGAAATATTATGGAATTAAAAAATTCATTTTTTTTTTACATAAATCGATTTCTCTAAACATTCTGTGTAATAAAGTATTAAGGTATTATGTGAGAAAGTTAATAATTTGTGACATATTTTAATGGCAAATGTCTAGCTTGGTTAGCGTCGTTTACCGATTACGTGTGAATCTTGAGATAAGAAATACTGAAATTGCCACCAGTATTCATGCAGTTCTCCGAGAAATTGTTGTTCAAACAGAACATTCAAATATGTCGTTGAATTCATCATAAAATGTTTAATAATATGGCAGTAATAAAAATATGAAGTTCCAGTTTTTAAAAATTCATTGGTATTAAAATCTGTGTAACGAACAAATAAAAAAACAAATTCAAATATTCTATTGAGTTTATTCCATGAAGTAAAACAGCTTTCATATGAAAGCATTTCAATTCTCTGTATTTTCAATGGTTACCAAACTAATAGCGTGTATACAGTTAAATTGGACATTCTATACATAATATAGACACTGGACATGGGCCACCACTTGAGACCGGAAATTCAAAATTTAACGCTCTTCGATATTTTAGCATAAAAAATATAGCATTCCATTTAAAAAAACCAAATGTTAACCTTCAAATCTCTGAAACGCTTCCACTTACAAAAAAAATATGCATCATATAATATATCCCTCCAAACCATACAACTTTTCTATAAAAACATTTTTCATACAATGCATACTTTAGAAGTTATTCAGGGTGAACAAGTTGCGTTGACGACCCTGTATATATTAGTGTTTGTGAGGTAATATGTGTTTATTTTATGATGTGCACGTGTTACACTGCACCGTTGACAACGACTACTCTCGAGGTCTATTAAATAAAATGATTGTAATTCGTAAATAACATTATATTTATTAAAAACAACATTAGGTATTTCCACCGTAAAGGAATTCCCTGGTAAGCCTGCTTATGACGGCCCTGAGAAGCTGGCCAACGCCTGAAAATGGCTAATGGCCAACGCTTGGATTTTGACAAAGTCCGTTGTTGGACTGTATTTTCAGTTATAATCAACTACATTTCGTATGATGTTGAATTCATATTGAATATAGGTAGTTATGTAAGCATATAAACTTATACGAAGTCAGAGTGAAATATTTTTAATTATTATATATTTTTTAATATTTTAAAAGATAAAAATTGATATGCAGTTTATAAAAGAGATTAATAGCTATTTAAGAAAATGTGTTTGTCTAAGATGTGATAATGCACAACTTATTAAAATAGTGCAAAGTAAAACTGAACCAATAATACTGTTTTATATAAATTATTATGTTTCTAATTTGAAAGAAGTATCCATATCGAGTAGATAAATACTATGAAAAAATATGTTCTATTTTCATGGAAACTTCTTGTCAATGATCCGTTATGTTAACGTTATCTTACATGCTAAACTGCGAAAATTCTGCGAATCACTGTGATTTTTCAAATACAAATAGATTTCTTGTAAAATACAATTGTTAATTTCATTAAATAAAATTTATAATTAATAAATTACATAAATATAATTGATCACTATTAAATAATAGTTATAATTAATTAATGAGTTAATTATTTCGAATTCTATCTTAAAAATAGATCATTTGTGTTGATACTTTCAACTGCAGTATGTTCATTCAAGATTTTATTATTAATAACATTTTTAATCAAAATTTTATCTCCTCGCTAAATATGTACCTATTATTAATTAATGTTCATCCAAATCCAAGTCACTATTTCCATTTCTAAAGGAAACATGGTTACCTAAAGGCTTCATTCATTAGGAATTACAATTACACGAAATACGTAAAAGTTGCAAGAAATGAACTTTGGTCAGCTTTCCGTAATTTTTCGCATAAGTAGACCATACACACGCTTCATTCATAAATCTTATACCTGACATCAACGGTGACATGTAGGTAATTATCTGTTTTCCATTCCTTCTAATTATTACTTCTTATCAAACTACAGATCGTGAACAATTCATGGTCAGTGTCTACGAACATTAACGAAAGTGGTTGTAAGCATCTAGTGATTGGAAAACACAAGTGGTCAGTTAATGAATCGTTAACACCGAAATCTAGCATGAGAAAATTTTATTACTCCTATCGCCGATTCAACGAATCCTTGTAGAGTAAAATATACAAATTCTGTAAAAATCTCTCGCTTCCAGTCCTAAAACATCTTGCATTTAAGATTCCTCCCATTTCTTGGCCAGTGACCCGTTGAACAACTACGCTCAGCGTCCGGTACTTTAAAGCGGTGCTGTAGAGCATAACTTTCTGTCAACCTCTGTGCAATTTAAGAGTTTCCTTGTCTGCAATTAGCGAGGTTTCTTTGAAAGGGAAGAAATTGAAGAAGACGACATTTGATTAATTTTAAGCAGAGACAAAAAATAACAGTGATTTGAAACATTTTTTGGAAGAAAATCGTTGAGCAAAAAGTAATTTTTATTTAAATGAAAACCAAATTTGTCAAAAAATGACGTGATTAAAAAACATGGATTTTTAACTATTCTGGTTACGAATAATTATTATAGATGATCAAAGTTTTTGTCGGTTACCAATAACAATTATCGATGACGGAATTCTTCTTTGATTGCGAATAACCATTATTGGCTACGAAAATAATATTGATTACAAATAACCATGCATCTAAGCATTATCGATGACGAGAATTTTATTAAGAATTGTATGTATATAGTAATATTTG